GAAATTATCTCTATTTTCAGATGACACAGAAAACCCAAAAGAGGCCACAAAATAACCTAAGAATTCTTAACCAGACTATTGGCCTAAAAATGTACTTCAAGAAGGCAATGAATCTCAAAAAATTCTTTGAACACTGTTGTAATAATGTATGTGGAAAAATTCTTAGCTGAATTTACATTCTGGAAGAGTCTCACAATCAAAACAACATTATTAAAAGTTTCTTAAAACATGCTATTAAGAGTTTTTTAACCATTTCATTTTTCGTAAGCTTTATCTTAATATTTGCAATCTACTTTCCATTCCAAAATGTATTCAAGGTCATTTTCCAGCAAAGTCTAGGTTGCTCAAACTATTAAGTTATCAGCCAAGTCCTAACATGTGTTTTCTTTGCAAAAATGCATCATTACTTTTCCAGCAGCCCAATGTAAGGAGATATGAAAAACACTATCCATTCAATTGGGTCAAAAAACTGAAATCAGATTATTGTCTCAGAACTAGGTACAATTTCAATTGAGTACACATGTGTCTACATTAAGCATATTTTGTAACTTGAGACATAATATCTTCTAAAGAGTAAAGTAATTCTCAAAGTAATAATGTTGGCTAAAACTAATTTAAAAGGAGTCAGTACCAGCCATTGTCTGTGATGTTTATATGAACCACTTCATTTGATCTTTATAGCATCAGAAGAAGAAACTGAATTAGAGATTGTAATAGTTCCAGAGCCATAGAGTTAGTGAGAGGCACAGTGATATTCCCCCAGAAATTTGTCTGCTTTCCTAGCTTTCTCCTTCCTTTGTTTCTCTCTACCCACCTATGTTTGCATCCTCACACCTATCCATCCATCCATCTCTCTAATCATCCAAAACTGCTAGAAACTTGTTCAAGTGAATCTTTGTCTTCTAGGTAGATGTTTAGGATAATCCTGAGCCACTAACCTAGTTACCACCAATATAAAATCATTTAATTTGTAATCTTTGGTTTAAATAAAAGCCAGATGTTTTCTTTCATAAATTAGACCTGGGACCCTTAGCATGGTTATGTCACTGGACTCCCATGTAGTTGACTGTGGTTCAAGTCCCAGACGAAATAGCTTAAAACTCACACCCAGTGCATGTGCGCGCATGTCCAAAATCCTGAAAGGAGAATGGAGGAGAAGGGGTTGTGGCATGAGCATTCCCCTGGGGAGGGGGGGGGGTGAGATTTCTCTCTTTCTGTTAGTCTGTCTTTCTCTGTCTCCCTGGAGAATGCACAGGCCTCTATAGCATAAAATCTCTCTAAAAATTTTTTTTTAAAAAAAGAAGAAGAAAAAAACTAGACGAATTATTAAAAAAATAATAATTAGTATGCTAATTCTTTCTCTACTATTAAGAAGCATCTCGTATTGGGCCTGCAGGTGGTGTGGTGTTTAAGGTATGGATTCCATATGGCTGGCTCTGAGGTTCAAGTCTCAGACCCAGTGGTTTGAAAAACATGCCAGGGACATGTGCATGTGTACCCAAAATCTTGAGAGGAGATTAAAGGAGAAAGGACTGTGGCAAGGCCATCCCCCTAGAGAGTGATTGTCAATTTTCCTCTCTCTTTCTATCTCTTCTGTTTCTCTCTGATGAGCAAATGTACCCTATAGCAGAAATAAAAAAGTATCAAGTATTTCATATATTCTTAGCCTTAATCTAAAAATGTATGCATGGCATATAAGAAGACCTACATTCCTGATACCAGAAAGGTATAATTTGGGGCCTACTAGCCTTACCCTGATTCCTGTGTATAAATGATAACTTTCCTGCTTTGGCTACTTTTCCTCTGAGAAATAAATGGTAGAAGTTAGACAAAAAATATTTTCCAAACTACTAATGTCGTAGGATAGACAGAGCTTCTGCAGAGAATTTCACAAATGCGATTGCAGAACTAACTGGATTATATATCTGAGCCACAAAGAATGACAAAGCGAGAACCGCAGAGAATCTGCTTCCAGCTGCACACGTCTGCCTGACAGCTGGAAGGCCTTCCTGAGACGGGCCATGCCATGTTCACAAGCACCGTGTCAGCCCTGCCTTCCTCCACAGGACGCTCATCATCTTGCTCCAGCCTGTTTGCTCAGCGTCCCTCATGAAAGCAACATAATTGCTTCAAAAGAGAGAAAATCATGCAGCCAACAGCAGGTTCAAAGCCATCCTGAGGGCTTTCTCTCTCTGAAAACAAACCATAATTCTGCAGTGGTGTTTCTCATCACATACCCGAAAAGTGCCAGCAGGAGGGCGGTGGCTCCCAGGTTCTCTCGGAAAGTAAAGGCTGTTAACTGGAAGGCGACGATAACAGCAACACAGAGGCACACGGAAACCAAGTAAAAGAGCTGGAAAGAGTAAAAGAGAAAAAGGGCCCTGAGATATCTGATAGGTAGATTAGTCATTACCCACTTAATTTGAAGTTTACTCTCAACTTCTGCTTAAATGTCTTCTTCATTTGGCACATCAGAGGTTTTGTGGCCATAGAATTAGTCCTGGAGAGACACTGTTAGGGGCTGAATAGTGTCCACTCCAAATTCACTTGTTGTACTTGCACTTCAGAACATTTCTCCTTGGAGACAGGGCCTTTAAAGAGGTCATTAAACAAAAATCAGGGTTTTAGGGTGGCCCTAATCCAGTATGTCTTTCTAAGAAAAGGAGATGAGGACACAAAGGTGTGCAAGGGGATGACCATGTGAGGGCACAGGGGAAAGGGACCATGCACAAGCCAAGAGGGTGGCTATGGAGATCACCCCACCCACACCCTGACCTCAGACTTCCAGCCTCCAGGACTGTGAGAGAGTAAGTTCTGCTGTTCAGCTGCCCAGTCTGTCATGAAAGCCCTAGAAAACCAATACAGCGACCCACGCCTTCTCCAACAGGAAGAGTCAAGGAGTACACACATCCTGCATGAAGCACAGCCTATCCCCAAATAGAACCAATGATAGACCTTGCACTGCCTCCTACCCCAGGCCAAGAACAGCCATGGCTTTGGAGGCAACTCACACACACAGTGTTCTCTTCTTCCAGAGCTTCTGGCTGCAGAGCTCCTCCTCTATGTCCCCACCTGAAGGGCCCCTCCTCACCTTCCAGATCTCAGCCAAAGTATCACTTCCTTCTTGATCTCTCAATTAAAAGTCACCTTCTGTCTCATTATCTTCTCTCATTCTCTCAACAGATCTAGTCATGAGTCAACCATATTTAGTGTATTTGTTTACGTGTTTTCTGCTTTCTCCCATAAAAATGTAAATTCTATGAGGGGAGAGACCCTTTCTGCCTTATACATGGTTAATGTCCAATACCATCTGAGTAGATACAGTAGAATAACATATATCACATGGCTTTTACACAATAGGAATTTGTTGCTCATAGTTCTGGAGGCTGGAAGTCCATGATCAAAAACATTGCCTAGTTCAGAACTCTTGCCAAGTCTCGCAGCTGCCGCGGCTCACAGACCTTGGGCTTCCCCTGAAGCATGAGCCTCCCCGCCCTCCCTCACCGACATTGCGCCGGCCTCAGTGCGCGCAGGGCCACCGAACACGCGGCCTCAAGATCCCCTACGTGCTCAGCCTGGGCGCCCGCAGCAGGCGATCCGTGGGTGACCGTGTCTGCAGAGCAGTTTGCTATCCATTCTCCTGGACCTGGGGAGTTAGAACCCACAGCTCCACATTCCTCCTCGCTCCGCCACCATTTCCAACGTCCCGCAGGGACTCGTTTTGGAGTTCCCATTGACTTCCAGGAAGGACACAAGTTCCTCTCTGACCCCAGCGCGGGCGGCCACCTGCCTTCACCGCGGTGACCCTACTCCCAAGACTCTGCGGTGCCTCGAGCGCTCCAGGAATGGCACTGAAGGGACGCATTGCCAGTGTGGGGCGCGGGGTCGGCGGAGGAGCCGTCCCTGAGGGGGCGCGGCTGGCTAAGGCCCTGCGGGAGCTCAGTCAAACAGGATGGTACTGGGGAGGTATGACCGTTAATGAAGCCAAAGAGAAATTAAAAGAGGCACCGAAGGAACTTTCTGGATTAGAGATAGTTCGCATTCAGACTGCCTACTAACAATCTCTGTTAAAACATCAGCTGGACCAACGAATCTGCGGATCGAGTATCAGGATGGGAAAATCAGGTTGGATTCCACCATCTGCGTCTAGTCCAAGCTTAAACAGTTTGACAGTCGTCTGATGGACTACTATGTGCAGATGTGCAAAGATAAGCGGAAAGGCCCAGAAGCCCCTGGGAATGGCACTGTCCACCTTTACCTGACCAAACCGCTCTACACATCAGCCCCACCTCTGCAGCATCTCTGTAGACTCACCATTAACAAATGCACCCATACCATCTGGGGACTACCGTTACCAACAAGACTTAAAGATTACTTGGAAGAATATAAATTCCAGGTGTGTTTCTCTTTTTCTAAACACGCCTCATATAGAGTACCTCCGGATGCAGCTATGTTTCAAGAGAACCAAAACTAGAGTGACTGCTCTGGCTCGCTCTGCGGAATGCTTTCTAAAGACAGTGGGAGCCAATCTAATCTAAATGCCTAAGAGGTAGCTAGGTAGTGAAAGTTCCCCCAGATATTTTCACCTGAGGGATGCTTCCCTTTCTAAGGCTGACCAAGACCTGTGGCCATCCTTTTACACTTAAAGGCAGGATGATCC